CCTGGGCAAGTTCGAATCCCGGTCAGGACGGTTGGTACCTTCCAGTGGACTCACCACCTGCAGGAAGGTTTGGGGGGGTTGGTACGGTGCAGTGTGATTTGGGTGGCGACTGCTGCCCCCGTGACCCGGTAACGGATAAGCGAATGAAAATGGATGGATGGATGGATGGTAGATCACTTTAGCTAACTGGTCACTTGAACAGTAGCTCCCTGGCCAAAATACTGGTATTATTAGTCACTGGTATAATGCTGAAAACTTGCTGCTGTCTATGTGGACCTCAAACACAGTGTCTGTGGAGAGTGTCTGTCTTTAGGAGTGTCTTTGCGTTACCCTTCAAATCCACACGTGGCTCTGATCCCTGGAAGGACAAGAAGTGGTCGGAGAGAAGGCAGTGGAAATGAGCAGGAGCGCTCTCTGCCAGCAGGGATGAGTGTGCCCGAGCAAATATGGGTTTTCTTAATGAGGCAACAGAGGAGAGCACCTGCTGCTGCCTGACTATAAACACACACACACACACACAGAGAGAGAGAGAGAGAGAGTCCACAGGTGAAGCTCAGTACGATGCTGGATCTGTTGCTTTTTCTCGTGGCGGTTGTCAAGACGTGGAGCTAATATCAATGTGCAGCTGCCAGCTGCTGGACCTGAGTCCTGGGAGTGAGGGAGAGGATGAGGCAGAATATAGGAATAAGTGAGGGGGAGAGAGAGAGAGAGAGAGAGAGAGTCAAGAAGACCCAGAAAGACAGAGACCAAAAGGACAGGGAAGACGTATAAATATAAGACTGAGAGATGCAGAGGTTGAGTCACAAAGAATGAGAAACACAGTCCATACAATGTTACCAATTTTTTCTAACAAAGATGACTTGTCACAATCAGTTCTTTAGAATTCAGATCATAAAAAAAAAGATTTGTCAAAGTCCACGTCCCCTGGAAATCAAAAAGTCAAACGTCAGTGTGAGGTAACACACTCTTCACCTCTGATTGGCTGACGGCGATATTTAATCACAAACCTAACCAATAGTCATGATCACTTCATAAAGTGGGCGGTAACGTTACTCTGCTCGGAAGGAGAATTTACTCAAGTACAGAGTTCTGAGTAGCTGTGAAAGTAATGTATGGAGAGTTACCGTATTTTTCGGACTATAAGACGCACTTAAAATCCTTTATTTTTCTCAAAAATCCACAGTTCACCTTATGGTTTGAAATATACGGTACATGATCATTGCTGGAGGTGTGTGTGTGTGTGTGTGTGCAGTTCCTCCTCTGTCAACGTGATGACATCACTAACCCACATCGATCAGTTCTTCTGTTTCTGGAAAAACTCGATGATTTGATAATATGTCGTTATGAGTGCAGCCTGATCTGGAATCCAACACTGTGGAGTGATGTGAGTGTAGATGCATTAGTACATGCCTGTGTATCTCACTGCTCTCCTCCCAGCGCTAACACTCCAGTGTTGGATTGTTAGAGCTCTAATCCACAGCTGCAGCCTTTCATCCTTTCCCTCCATCTTTTTTCTCCCTCTTCTCTCGTCTGGCGTCCACAGTCGAAATCTAAATTCAGATCACATTGTGAGGCAAATTCTACATAATGTGCCAGTTCCCCCCCCCCACACACACACACACAGACACAAACAGCTAACACCTTTCTCTTCGGTCTGTTCATCACTGCCTCAGACAACCTTCTCTGGACTTTCCTGCCTCTTATTTTCCTGTCATCCGTCCGTCTATCCATCCTTCCCTCCTTTCTTCCTGCTATTTGTCCAGCTCTGGATCAGTGTGAGGGAGGCCCAGGAGGTTGGCATGGCAGCCTGGCAGGAGCACACAAGACTCCCACTTTGCCCCCCGTGATGCCCCTAAGAATTATTGGTCAATCTTTATTTACTGTACTGTTCCCCGCTCCATCTTTACTCCGCTCCACGTTTTTACTCTCTGTCGTCGTTGTTGTTGTTTTTTTTCTTCTTCTTTCTTTTCTTGAATCTATTCAAGATCTCTGTAAGAAATTCTCCCGTTCAGGCTTGAATTTGACCTTGTTGTAAAAAATACACTAACACTTGAGAATGTCCTTAACAGCCAACTTAAGAGTAAAAAAAAAAACTCCCTTTGTGCATTTGGTGAATGAAACACATTCTGACTGAATGGTGAATGAGACTTCCTGCTACTTCACTGTTTCTTACTTCTCCAAGGGAATTTGACACACGGCATTGTGTCCACAAGGGTTGGAAAGGACACGCTACAGGACTAATGTTGTAGAAAGTCCTTTGCCTTTGTCTTGTCTGATGGTCCGATCCAAAGAACAACCTCAGGTGACTTCATTAGGAGTGCAATAAATTACATAACATTTTCACTTTGAATTCTAAAACTCCACATTGTTAGAATTGAGAAGGATTGAGAGGATTGTCGTTTTATTTTAAATATAAGGACGATGTCAGGAAAATGCGGCAGAGTTTGTTTTCTGTAAACGTCTCACAGATAAACAGAAGTTGCTGGTATCATTCTACTAAAATAAAAATAACTTGACCTGAGACAGTGCTGTGTACAGTATAAGGACGTTTGGTGTGTGTGTTGTCTTTAATGGTGTTGTGTGTCTTGAACAGAGGGGGTGGGAAAAAAAGGCTCAAGAACTACTGATGAACCACATGTTGATTAACAGGTTTTTACCACAAAATGTGCACAACTATTGTTAAATATGTCGTAGTGATTTAAATTTACTCCAATAATTTTACCAAAAAAAAAACAAAAGTAGACAGTGACAAACAGTGTGGTTCATGTCAATTTAACTCCCACTGTGTTTAATAATAGAAGCTGTTTACTTTATCTCCTACTTCTGTCTTTAATATCTCCATCTCCGTTGTTTTGATTTTCATTAACCCAGGTCACTCGACCTCACAGGTATATTTATGTTTTGTCACCGTAGCAGAACGATCACCTGTTTTCTGGTGTTGCTATCAGTTACACTTTGAACCCTGTTGTTTGTGGGAGAAAATATTCTTGTTATCGTTGCTGATGATTTTGTGACTTTGTTCGTTACAGAGACTAAAAACCTTATCAATACTGGAATCCTGTGTCACTCGCACCATTTCCTTCCAGCCAAATGTCCAACGGCAACCCATTAATCTGGGATCAATTAACTAGGCCTGGGCAGAGTTCAGGCCTCTGTTGACTGTGCTTGGCATAATGATAGGTTTTCATGCAGGAATGTTCCCTGTTCTATATGGTTCTGCCTTGTTTTGTTCCTCTGCTCCCAGTTCCTAAGGGTTGTATCTGTAAAGGTCGAGTCCTTCCCACTTGTTTTAGTTTTCTTCCAAACTTTCCATTGTGTTTGCAGTCTACTTATTGAATTAAGCCCTACTGTTGGTAATGAATGTGGCACATAATTCCATGCAGAATGGCATTCTGGGTAGATTAGTGGTCTTGACTTAATGTAAGAAAACCCCTTAATGGTTCATCCTGTCAATTGTTTTTTTTTCTTTTCTTATTTTCCTTGTTTTTGCGTACATTCCTTTTTTAACTTAATGTACCCACAAGGTCATCAAGGGCTTTTAGGTCAATTACTTTTATAAGAAGTATTTACAGTAATTGGAAACAGATTGTTATTTTCTAGAAGACGGCATTATCATGAAGAACTCAAATATCTCGGAACTGTTTCTGTAACTGTGGTTGTACTGCGAGTACTGTTTCAGAAACGTTTCAGAACCACCAAACAAAAATGTCAGAAAAACTCTATGTAATAAAATATAATGTTCTTTTTAGTTTCAGTTTACTCACAATATACTATCTGGTCTAAAATCTGGGCCTGTTTATTTGAACACAATCCTGATATACCCGCAGGAATTGAAAATATATATAGCCATATGCTGCCACTTAGTGGAAGAGTGACTGAACTGTGAACTGTTCTGACTGAAGACAATTATTAGCAGTAAATAAAAATATCTTCACTCTAATGAAGGGACATTGGATGATTTTACATCAACCAACCAACACAAATGTAATTCCTTTTGTTTCCTCTCAAACGACTCATTCGAGGATTTCTGACTGTACTCACCTCTTCCTCCTTCACCTTCCTTTTTTTTTGTTATTTTTCCACTGTCCTAAAATCATGCCAGTGAGTTTCCCTAACTAGATGTTATGGAACCTAGCAGTACATGTCTGTGTATTACTTAGAATACACAGAGGGTATCCTGAGTTACTTACACTTTCTTTAACATTTAACATTTTTAGAAACGTTGGCTTCATTCAAACATTTATTCAAATTTGATTTGAAGTGTGCATTTGGGAATTGGACAAAACATTTCCTGATTTTTGTCTCTGCGTTGTTTTGTGTCCTAGAAACGCTGATATTCAATTGTTCGTCCTCTTGTTGTTCTTGTTATGCGACGTTGTTTCCATCAGCGACTTTTCCTCTGCTGAAATCAGCCTTGATAACCTTGATTAGCCTGCCATGACAGTCCAGAGTTGCCAAGAGGAAGTGATTAGAGCCCCTGTTTCTGCCCAACACCCAGGAGCGTTTCTGGGCTGTGCACAATACTTGGCACATCCTGCTTCTTGAATTGCTGATGTTACATCTTTTTTTTGTGTGTGCATGTGTGTGTGTTGTGCTTTGCCGGAGTAAGTGAGGAAAAACCTCTATTTATATAAGGAAGTACACTCCCTGAAATGACAAAAATAAAACCAAAACATTAACGTTTGCCTTTTAATTTAGACCTTTTTGTCACAGACCAGAGAACGGGGGAATATTGAATGGTTAAAAACTGACATACAAAAAGAAAAGAAAAATAAATAGAGGCGGATGCCCTGCAATACTCAAGACATACTGTAGGTGGCGTAAAACCAAAGAGCCATTAAAACGTTTTGGAAGCTCAGTCAAAAAAACCACTGCTTGCAATAACTGCGCCCTCAAGGCAAACTGCTTGCAATAACTGCGCCCTCAAGGAGGACGCATCCCCAGCTTTGTAACCCATAAGATAATTCATCAGCTAACGCTCTGTCCGTGTGTGTTTCCAGATGTATGGGCGCTACACCCAGGAACTTGGAGTGTATGCCAAAGAGGAAGCAGCTCGGATAAGGGAGAGCGGTCACAGGCGGTCGGTCAGCCGGACCTTGGATCTGGTGGAGTACGACAAGGGACGCTGTGCCAAGTGTCGCAGTAAGTTTGTTACTGGAATGATTTAAATATAGTTTATACAGCATCACCACCATGGATGCAGTTACTAAGAAACCAGACAGGGGGCGTGTCTCTGTGTACATCAACCATTTTCCTTTGGAATTGACATGTCTGGTTTCCACTGTCACAATTCTGAGTTCAATTCTGAGGAACGTAGTAAAAATTTCATGGAGGTTTTGGAAAGTTTTGGAAAGTTTTGGGAGGCTGTGGCATTAAAGACCTTTGTCAGTACTTTATTCTCTTGGCCTTCTTTGTAGCTGATATAAAAATCCCAAGTAAGAATAATTCATGTCTGACTTTGCTCACTGAACTAAGGCATGAAGTAAAATTGAACTAAAACTAAACAAAAACTAAAAGTTTTTCTGAGTCGACTTTTGTTTAAAATGACTCTGCAAAATACATATTTCCCTCTTTAGCCACTTATTAGACTCTCAGCTGACAGAAATATAAAGAAAAAATCTTTGTAAAAGTCTATTTTTAATTTAATGTAATTAAATTAAAAATTTGGTTGGTGATCTTCAGAGCAAAAATCTCCAGTGTTTTTCTTCTTCTTCTTCTCCTTCGTCTCTTCCAACTACTGTGTAATTAATGACGCTCGTCCAGCTGATTGGAGTTTAATTCTTTTACACACACACACACACACACACACCGTGTGATTAACCTTTCATCCAAAGTGCTGCATTCTCACTTTTATTTTTTCTCCCCCCCCCCGTCCGTGATCACGCCGACTCCTTATCTTGTTGCGGCTGTTTCCTGACACGTTATTCTGCAGGTGGGCAATAAAATGCCACTCATGGCATTAGTTTGTCCCCAAATATGACTCAGTTCATATCATACATACATATAAAAACCACACAAATATATTCTTTATTACACTCTCTATTCACGTTTTTGTTCTTAGTGTATTTATTGGGTACATATAAAAACCGTGTAAAAATACACGTTTTTGTTCTTAGTGTATTTATTGTAAATTACATGTTTACCTGTTTGTCAACAATTTAGGATAATACTGCTCCTAGAGGTCAAATAAATCAAAGATTACAAACGAATATAAACGCTATAAAAGTAAACACTGAGGAGCCACTGTTGCACTCTCCTCCTTTAATGCAGTACTGCGTTAGTACCAGCAGGGCGCAGCATAGAGCTTTATTTGTAGCGGTTAAGAGATAGGCTTGTAAAAAGGGTCCGGAAAATCCTGTTTCCAATTTTGGTCCACAGTGTGACGGAAATGAAGTACAAATACAGTACCTGGATATTACTGCGTATGTGAAGCCTAGAGGAAGTATTTAAGCTTCAGTCTCTGCACTAAGATACGTCTACAAAGTTCTAAAACAAATTAAAAAATTTTACTAATGAAAAATAACAAAACTGTTTCTCTTCACATCCTTAATTTAAATCTAAACACTTTTACCTTTTTTTTTTAATCAAGAAATGTTTTCTCTGTAGAACTTCTAGGGTTAAAACCTGCTGCACACGTACAATATAGTATCTGTGTGTACATGACTGTGTATTTTCTCACTGTCACGTCCATCTCCGTCTTTGTCCACATGCACCACCGCGTCATTCAGCTGGTTCCTCGAGGCGCGTACATTATGTGTACTACATTTACTTCAACAGGTGTGATGTCAGCAGGAGCTCAGCATGGCGCCTCGTGTTGCCATGGTGACCAGCAGGCACATAGCGACCATCAGTTGCTCACACGCCGTCATTTTCTCTTCTTCTTCTTCTAGTGTCCCTGTCTGTTTATCTCTGGCTCTCACGTCTCCTCTCACCAGACAGCGTTTTGATATGGGTCACGTCTGTGAGCTGTCATTCAAACCAAACCAAATGGATTTTTTTTTTGGCGGCCAAGTGGTTTCATTTCTGGGATATATACGAGCCAGATCAGGGTTTGAGTTGTCAGAGATCTTAGCAGGATTTAGTCCATGAAGAATTGGATTTTTCGTTCTTCCATCCCATTTCTCTCACATCTAACACGTCACTCATAAAAACAATAGTAATTGTAGGAGTAAAATGAATAAGCAGAGCAGCAAATGTTCTGATTGGCTAATGTCAGACCCCAGTAGGAGGGTGGGACCAAGGCAGACATGTTCACACGACGCCAGGGCACCGACCTACACGTGTACTCCTGGATACTGTGACCCGTGTTACTGCTGTGACCTCCAGGTCTGTTCTTGCTGTGTAGGTTCTAGTATGTGGACGTGTGTGTGTGTGTGTGTGTGTACATCCCTGACCTCCTATCGCCCACAAAATATGTCCTCACAGCAGTCTTCAGCAGATTAGCAAGAGCATTAAAATCTTTACACTCAATTTCACTTAATTCAAGTTAAATGTTCCTTCATTGCTTTTTGAAGATGTGGCCTAAAACGAGGCTCTGGGGTCCTGTGGTGGGACGGACTGTATAACTCTGTTGTTTAACACCCTTTTTCTCTGGAATGTGAGTGATGATGAGCGAATCAATAGGAAGTGAACATGAATGGTTAAAAACAGACCCAGAGGAGGATGCTGTACAGTACAGTCACCACCAGAGGGAGATAGTTAGGTGGACACTTTCACTTTAAAGGCATCTCAAGTAACAAATGAGACATGGGCCCCTGATTAATATTTGATTATTTGTCACCTGAGTATTGTGTTTGGTGTGTGTGTGTATTCTTGTTTACCCTAGAACGTGAGGACCAGTTTTTTTTTTGGAATGCAATAGTAAGGACTTTATTCATATCCTCACTTTTTGAAGGTTAATACTCACATTAAGAATCCTAAGATTGAGGATACATTTAGGACAAGATTTGACCAAGTTGAGGTATAAGTACTGTAATTTTTTTGGCCTGAACCTGTGACTGTTTGGTTTGAAAAGAACAAACGACCTCCTGGAGGTCAGACAGATGTCACAGCACAGTTCTGTTTTGCCAAAGTGAATCAAACCGGAGGCCAAACTCAGGTGTCACTCTTAATTAGTTCATTAAAAATAATTGACTATAATCTGCCATCAGTCAAATAAGTTTCACTGCTGTCAAGTTTGTTTATGTCAGTTATGGTTTTTACAACGTGAAGGTTTCGGCCATGAGCCCAGGTTCAGTGTTTACTGTCCACTGAGTTATGAACTGTAAAGTTTTATTCTTTACTGTAGGCTTTTTTTTAACGAATAAAACAAAACTTTTTTTAAAAAAAGGCTAAAAAACAAAACAGTTTTTCTTCATTTGCAAATTTATTTATTTATTTTAAAAAAACCCTGACCTTTCACAGTGTACGTCCTTCACTCTAACCTGTAGGACATCTACGTGTACACAGTGTCTTGCAGCGACACCTACTGTCTGCTGCCCTGTATGGTAGGTTTAGTGGATGAGTTACAATCAAACATCATTTCTATCTACAGGGTGATAAAAATTGAACATTTATAAGATTCACATTCATAATTTTAACAAGACTCGTCTCGGTGTAAAAAGTGAGATGAATGCCACTTTATGAAGCGATTTTTTTTCTCCCTCAGACGTGCAGCTGTTGATCGATGGTTATTCCGAGTGCCCACATCCATAAAAGCTGATTCATTTCTTAATTAGCCTCTGGGTTTTTGTGTGGAAGTGTGGATATGAATAAGTACACTGCTCTGTGTGTGTGTGTGTGTGTGTGTAACAATGGATATGTGTTAATGTTGTCATTAACTTTTATGTGTCTAGATTGTTCTGTCTCTTATAAAGAGGCCTCTTCTCCTCTTTGGAGCTGATGGTGATAAAACTCCGACAGACACGAGTCACAGATTCAGCTTTTTGTCTGGTTTTCACATCATTCATCTCAGCTCCTCTCTGCGCTTTTCTCAAACCTTTATTTCCTTCTCCTCCTGTTGAACCGTGTCCTCTTATATCAGGGATGTAACAGTACAGTGAGGCTTCGAGATACGAGCTCCACGAAATATATGTTTTTACGAGGAAGCAACTTCGCAACAACAACAACGCTGTTGTGCTGGGTTATTTTAGCCGCGTTTTTACGAGGAAGCAACTTTTGCAAGATTCTCCTCGTGAGGAAACATCGAGTTACGAGTGTTTTTCCACTCGACGCTGTTGTGCTGGGTTATTTTAGCC